AAACCGGGACGCCATTTTTTCCCGAGTTGCTCGGAGGTAAATAGCAAAGGATATTCGGAGTTTGACTAGCCAATCAGAGCGCGCCTTCAACGCTATCCACTGTTTTAGTATATACTAATACACGATATTAATTATGCAGGCAGCTCAAAGCGACCACAAGGCGGCAACGAAACGACAAAGAGAAACGCTAATGAAACATTAAATATAATTACAGAGAGTAAAGACTTAAATGAATGAACTCCGAACGCGCAAAAAGAAAGAGCAACAAGAAAACATGTCGTACTTAGGACTCACAGTAAGTATACCTCATTGTAGAGTTTATCTCGCATCTTTTCTCCAAGTGTATAAATTTCATCCGGGGTTTTTGAGTTGGTGGTGAAATGCGCCAGTAACTTGATGTAGGAGTCTCTTCCATTCAGCTTCTCTCCACTCGGTAGTTTCTGCGTGGTCTCTTTACTCGTACGAACGCCGTTTTCATAAACGTAGAGAAGTGGTAAACTCCCAAGGCCAGTAGAAACACTGTCTGGTGCACAGTGTGGTATCTGATCTGTTTCTATAAATCTGGAATGTAGCATTCAATGGATTGAGTTGAATATAAGCATAATGGAGAGGTTTGATTGAGCCTCTTAGGGAAACTGAGAGGGGGAAACTGTAGACGGATATATTGAGATAGGTTAATTAAGAGCACAATGCAAACATCTTTAACCATGTCCGTGACATTTAGCCACCAACATGTTAAGTCATTCTCTGATAAGTAAAAGCATATCTAAAACTATACAGAAAAGAGAAAGGTGAATGGCAAATCTAGAACCCTATATACAAGGCTGCTAAAAATAATTAAACAATGTCAATTTGAAATAATTATAATAATAATAATAATAATAATAAATAAAAATAATCCTTTATTCACCATAATCACAAAAATTATAACAAAAACTATGATAAAATGCTTGAAAATCGAAAAAAAAATGTGTTAAAATGTCTAATAAAAATGTAAGAAAAACTAGAGGATACACACTATGATAACGATAATTCACTCTAATCAACAAAAATATTTACAAATTAAGATAACATCCTTAAAAAATCGAAAAATACATGAAAATATCGACTAACAAATTATCTAAAAAAAAAGAAACTAACTAACAAATGGCAGCCTCTCAACTTTGAATATATAGATCTACATTAGTAAAATTCAATTTGGGCCTTCTAATTGTTCTGGATCCTCTTAGGCAGATTAGGGCGGATCTTACTAATGCAAATAATTATAATAATAATAATAATAATAATAATAATAGTAATAATCTCTCGTACATTTCCAAATTAGTTGACACGGAATACATCTGTTAAATTCGGTTCTCTAGGATCAGACTCGTATGAGACCCAAACTAACTCTGATAACAAAAAACGACCTACATATAAAAATCGCGAAAGCAACTACTAGTTCGTATTGAAAGAATTTCAAAAAAACGTACATCGAAATTATCCTTATAAAAGTAAATTACATTAAAAAATTATATAACGAGGGAAATGACACTTTTACTCTAAAAAACTATAAAAACAAATTTTAATAATAGTAATAATAATAACAATAATAATAATTTCAATAATAGTCGCCGCTTGTATTTACAACTACGGGAGGGATGGGGATGGAATGCATAAGATACCACAGCCGATTGGCCGAGCTGATAGCCACCAAGAAAGGGGAACGATACTCGCAAACAATCTCCTGGGTCCGAGCAAAGACATCCTTTGCCCTCCTTCGGTCGGCCTTAGTTTGCCTTCGAGGATCGCGGGTGAAGCGCCGCGCTGCGTATGACTATAATAATTGTGACGTTGAAATCGCAGCTGCCGAGGGAGCCATTGACATTGTTTAATGATTTTTAGCAGCCTTGTATATAGGGTTCTAGATTTGCCATTCACCTTTCTCTTTTCTGTATAGTTTTAGATATGCTTTTACTTATCAGATTATTAGACTTTGAATCTGTTCAGATTTGACTCCGTTATTTATAGTTTTCCAGACGCTTTGACAAAAAAAAAAAAGGAGTAGATGTGAGCCGAAAGTGAGTTATTTTGGATCGTTTTTTACGCTGTTAATATTTTGTATTGTAGAGGATTTCAATGATAGTAATAATAATAATAATAATAAAAATAATAATAATGAGGTTTCTGTCTATCAAATAAAAGAGTTCCCAGGCACCTCAGGACCAAGGATTGGCCCCGGATCTCTCACGGCTCGAGACTGGACCTTTAATTTCAGTTTGAATTTCCCTTACAATTGTCCATTACAAACCGCTTTATGAAGACATATATACATACTTTAACATGTTGTCGATTGGCTTGCCAACATACTCCAGAGCGTATTCTCGAAGTGACTCGCTGACTGATTTGCCATGTTTATCTTCCCACTTTTGCTTTTCGTCATTAGTCATGTTCTTGATAAAATCCGCAGTAAGGACTGGCTTTATGAACGAAGCTTCGTAGATTCCTGCATCGGCAAAAATATGTGCATTCATTAAGTTTCGGAAAAAACTTTTGCTCGACTTAAGAAATGAATTGGACCGAAAAAGATTGGTACACCTGCTGGGCATTAACGTATCACTCCACAGAGACATCAATTTTTGAGACTAAGTTGATTTTTGCCGTCGTCTTTTACTTATGTGTTATTTTGTTTTGTTCTATTTTTCTCCATGTCATATCTCATCTGCAAAAATGTTTTGTTTTGGTTGGTAAATGCTTAGGTTCTCATTGCGGAAAATTGCTCTGTATCGCGATTAGGTAAACTCTTTTCTGCATTATTACGTGTGCAAATAGCTACATGTTTACATGTTTTAATGTTCGATCTGTCTGGAGTGAAAAAGGTTCTCGACAGGGTCTACAGAGAAATAGTATAGAAACATGGCAGCGATGACCCAAGATGAAGAGGCATTGTGGATGGATGGTGCACTTCAAACGTCACATTCCCTTGAAGCAAAGGAGATCATTGTTTTCCATATCTTTTAAAAGAAAGTGAAAAGACTGCTTTCCCAAAATTTGCAACTTAGATATTTTGCGTCACAGTTGGAGATCATGCTTTAGTCTTATCTTGCTGATTAGTCATTAGTTTGGCAAGTTTGTGCGTCTTTTTTAGTATTTTGCAATTTATTTGTTTCAAAATGAGTGTCATTGCTGCAAATTGTGCTATGTTCGAGTATGTTGTTCTTCAAACTTCAGTTGAAACAAACAAAGAACTGAAAGCATTGCATGTCAAAACACATTTGATTTTTGTATCATTTTTGCATATATTTTATACCTGACGGTCCTTTAAGAGCCACATCCTTATAGTTGTTTTTCAACCCATCCAGCCCAGCCTTGCACTCCTCAATCGTACGAACCATTCCAGCTTCCACACCCAACTTCATGTTTTCCACAAACTGCTTGAAAGTATTTTCCAGTTCCTTGAATTTGTCTCTCAGTAACTCCACATCGATGACAGTAAATGGTTTGAAATGCTTCAAAGCAGTTCCAACTTCGGTTGGAACCATGCAGATCGGGAACCAGCAGAATATATCCGGTCCCATCATCCAGTCACCAATATAGTAGTCATATCCGTACGGTAACATGAAAGGGAATGCATGTTTTGCCCAATGCAATAGTTGCGCGACTCCTCGTTTCTCTCTCAGAGTGAGCTTATCCATATTGATCGGTGTCTTCTCGATTTCGTCTCTAATCTTCGTCGCTTCATCAGCAATGAGTTTTAAGTTAGCCGGAGTTGGATCGTACGAGCGGTATTTCTTCTTCACTTCCTCCGGTGAAACATCAGGTTTTCCATAAATCTTGTTGGGATACAATTCAAAGTATTTATTCTGTGCTTTCTCAAACAAATCGTCGAGACCAACTCGCATTGCCTCCTCCGAATAATCGCAGCCGCTTTGCTTGGACGGTTGACTCTCATCTGTAGTACGCTTTCTTCTAGCTTCAGCAATGAGCGCGATTCCAGCAAAAAAGCAACACAAACAAAGAATTCCAAGCAAGACGAAAACTATGATAAAACACAGTTTTCGCCGTTTGTTCCTTGAAGACTTACGAGGGACGGTTTCGTACTTTACGAAATCCATGTTAAAATATTTATGGGCTATGCAGATGAACTAAAGCTACTTTGTCTCATTAAGACTTTGATATTTTCCGAACAAGCCATCTATTGTTAACAGAAAACAAAATTAGCATTAAAATATTAATCAATTGCGTTGATTCACGTGAAGTAAGACACGCTCTCAAAGCTATTTTTAATGCCCAAAAACTTTGCATAAATATATCTTATTAAACGTTTTGTTGTGTAGTATCAGCGATACTACGCAACAAAACGTCTAATAAGTTATTTATTATCCAACACGCCAAACTGTCATTTCAGTGCGGGCGAATTTCGCGGATGTTTATTACGGGGAGTGCATAACAGAAGTATGCGACCCGGAACGGAATTGGCGCGTTGTTGTGCTGCTTTTTCTATTTTCTTCATTAAATGAAGAAATTTTCTGGTCCTCAAGCTGTTTTTCTTCGTTCGATTCATCTAATGAACTTAGATCTATATTTGCCAGCCATTCTGACTCTTCGTCGTCGGAAATATGATTCAAATTGTCCGCCACTTTATTTTTCGTAACTACAATCCAATTCTTCGCTTGCGAGAAGCGAGAAAACCTGTTTAACCGGTACTACAATAGACGAGCACAAATACCGCGTGATATTTGTACTCGTCTATGGCATTATTTGTACTCGTCTAGGTGTAGTTGGATAATAAATCATGATATTTCAGTCGTCTGTCCTTTAGTTTTGTAAGTTAGTTATTATTGCCAATTACACCCTATGTTTCTCAACTTTACGACCAAAAGTTGTCTGGGTTAATAGATTGAAATAAAGCCACTCCCACAACTAGTGAAGTATGATGTTTGCGTTCTGTGTTTTTGTACTTTGCCGCCTGCTGGCCCACTCGATATCATGAATATCAAATAAAGTAGCGCTCGGGAGTTACAAAATGTTACAAAGTTATTTTGTCGAACCCAGAAACATACATTTGTCAACCTTTCTTATTACCTTTTTCTTTTGGTATAACCATCGCAAAGGGGTTGCATGCAAGATCTTGAGTTAAAAAAAATTTATAAGCAAGTTCAGAGGCACTTGCAGAGTCTTTGTCTACGGTTTTGAAATTCATTAAGTAAAGTAATATTTATCGCGCGCATTCTTAACATTTAAAGTTGCTTTCCTCATCACTAAGAGTTGACTTTACGCCTACGGACTGTTACATGCTTTAAATTTTGTGATTTAATATATAAAATTTCTCTCTAGTTTCTAAAGAACGCTAACACAAGAATATTAAATAGAGTCCTGAGAACAGGAACGGCGTTTTGGCAATTTGCTTTGTTTTTCACTTGCTCAATGTACTCAATGAACATTGAGAAGAAGGACTGACTTCCAATCTTACTTTTATCCTTTTATGATTAACTTAACATGTTACCAGATTAGTATAAGGAGGGCAGAACCTAGAAAACATGCATCTTTCTTTCACTCGAGCTTGTTTAAACTGAGTGGAAGCCATCTACAGAATTATCTGTAAGTGCAATGTAGGTGAGTTAAGGTGGCGACCCAAACCATAAAAATTGTTAACTCATCCTTGACTACCACAAGCAGCGCTGCATTTGGAAAGTCAAGATTCTCGATTGGTAGCTTTACTCTGCACTTTATGGTGACTCTGAATCTTGAGATAAACCATTAAATCATTATTATCATTAGTCATTGTAACCACGATAAATGAACACAACTTTTTTTGAAGAAAATACAGAAATTTATAAAAATGCAAAAAATACAGAAAGCGACAAAAAAAAAAAGTTTTCTTAATATCAAATAACCAGTTTTTTATAGCAATAAAGTACAGTTGAAACCTGTGATCACAATGTGCGGGGAAACGAAAGAATCCCATAAAACTGCACCGAAGTTATCTACGAGACATTATGCTACATTTTGGTTTGTCTCAACGTGTTTCCCTTTTCGCGCTATAGAAATGTTTGTCTTTATGTTCAAAATGCTAGTTCTGTATATTGTGATAAATAGGCTTTGATCCACCTTATTTGTTCCTTTTAACAAATGGTAAACAATTGGTGCTTGATGTTTTTCGGAAGGGGTGCTGATTGTTCTGTACAATCCTCTTGGTAGAGGCAGTAGGAATCCAGTTGACCAAGAGAGGCACAGAAATCTAGCCTATAATTATCAGCACAATAGCTAGGAGGCCTTCTAATAACTTGATCTGAAAGGAAAATGGCTCATGAATATGTAAGCATCTTGGTCAGCGTACACCTACAGAGGGTTGTCCAATACACCCATGCAAACTGTTGTGATGGAGGTATATAAACTTGAATTGACTAGAATTGACTTTGATATTCTCTTTTGTCTAATAAATTTTTCTTTTGTTTTGGTCATTTTATGGGAGATTGAATCATGACTTAGGGATAAAATTGTCTATCGTTAAACCTGTAAGAGACTTATAAAAATTAAAATGCTAATAGTTTGGAAGTCGTGTAATATGCAAGAGTATCATGTTTCTCTTTTGCCTTTGAATTATTCGTTAGTATAGGGAAAGTTTCCACGTGACCAAACTGATGTAGTGCAATCTTGTCGACAGTTCTGATCATAAGTGTTTTGTTCGTCATGTTGTCAATGCTATGGCGTCTGAAGAGGCTCTTCTTCAGTAGGATGGCATAAAATACCTTATTCATTCCTTCTGGCACTATAGATGTACTAATCATTGGATTTTCATTTTCCTCATTTGCGGTTGCATTTAACATGTGCGTCTTGTCGTTGAGTAAACCTGTTGGAGATAGGGAAATCATTTCTTATGTGCTGTAATTATGTTTTCATTATGAAAGACAAATTAATTACACAATTTTATCGCTAATGTTGATGGGATATGCTAGGGGGCATATTGAGTAACATAAGCTGTTGCAAATATTGCCAACCTTTTTTAAAAGGGATTAATTCACTTGGGTTGCTGCACCTTTCAATAACATTCAAAATCTGAAGTTCTGGTCCTACACGGCAGCAGCTAAGATTGCCATTTTGGCTGCTATCAATAACAACTATTATTATAAAAATTACTATTAAGAGAAAACCTATTCCCTTTGGAAAATTATAACATAACCAAAGTAAAGCGCGCGCTCTGATTGGTCAATTTAGCGTCCCCCATTTGCCCGTGGGTGTACGCTGCTGACGTGAGCAAATGCAAAGACTATTTTTCCGCGCGCGCTTGTTTTTTCTGGTCACGTAAGATTTGTTAAATAAAAGGGAACTCTTTAGCTACAATGTATCAATGTTATGTTATAAAACAAATGGTAAACACCACAGCGTACACTATTGAGTTATGGATGCACGCGGGAGGTTGCTAAGCACGAAAGAAGCGTAAGAGTCGCTCGAGGCGATAGCCGAGAGCGACTCTAGCTTCTTGAGTGCTTAGCAAACCTCCCAAGTGCATCCATAACTCAATAGTGTACGCTGTGGTGTTTACCATTTGTTTTATAACATAACACTGATACATTGTAGTTAAAGAGTTCCCTTTTATTTAACAAATCTTACGTGACCAGAAAAAACAAGCGCGCGCGGAAAAATAGTCTTTGCATTTGCTCACGTCAGCAGCGTACACCCACGGGCAAATGGGGGACGCTAAATTGACCAATCAGAGCGCGCGCTTTACTTTGGTTATGTTATAATTTTCCAAAGGGAATAGGTTTTCTCTTAATAGTAATTTTTATAATAATAGTTGTTATTGATAGCAGCCAAAATGGCAATCTTAGCTGCTGCCGTGTAGGACCAGAACTTCAGATTTTGAATGTTATTGAAAGGTGCAGCAACCCAAGTGAATTAATCCCTTTTAAAAAAGGTTGGCAATATTTGCAACAGCTTATGTTACTCAATATGCCCCCTAGCATATCCCATCAACATTAGCGATAAAATTGTGTAATTAATTTGTCTTTCATAATGAAAACATAATTACAGCACATAAGAAATGATTTCCCTATCTCCAACAGGTTTACTCAACGACAAGACGCACATGTTAAATGCAACCGCAAATGAGGAAAATGAAAATCCAATGATTAGTACATCTATAGTGCCAGAAGGAATGAATAAGGTATTTTATGCCATCCTACTGAAGAAGAGCCTCTTCAGACGCCATAGCATTGACAACATGACGAACAAAACACTTATGATCAGAACTGTCGACAAGATTGCACTACATCAGTTTGGTCACGTGGAAACTTTCCCTCTACTAACGAATAATTCAAAGGCAAAAGAGAAACATGATACTCTTGCATATTACACGACTTCCAAACTATTAGCATTTTAATTTTTATAAGTCTCTTACAGGTTTAACGATAGACAATTTTATCCCTAAGTCATGATTCAATCTCCCATAAAATGACCAAAACAAAAGAAAAATTTATTAGACAAAAGAGAATATCAAAGTCAATTCTAGTCAATTCAAGTTTATATACCTCCATCACAACAGTTTGCATGGGTGTATTGGACAACCCTCTGTAGGTGTACGCTGACCAAGATGCTTACATATTCATGAGCCATTTTCCTTTCAGATCAAGTTATTAGAAGGCCTCCTAGCTATTGTGCTGATAATTATAGGCTAGATTTCTGTGCCTCTCTTGGTCAACTGGATTCCTACTGCCTCTACCAAGAGGATTGTACAGAACAATCAGCACCCCTTCCGAAAAACATCAAGCACCAATTGAAGCGTCATCTGACATCAGTTCTCCTCCAATGAATACAGTCCACTTGTGAACAGTGGAGAAAATTTGATTTTTGACAACTTTGACTTCTAGTTACAGGTGCTTAGTATCACTGAAGAGCATCCCACAAATAATGCATAGATTTTCAGTGTGTGTTCACACCTGTCTGTTGAAAACCATGCTGCAGGAAACCTCTTCTGTTTGAGGCCAGCCACTCCGATCATTGGTTTTGCAAGTTTGGGGGTTCCTTGAGAGCCACTGTTTGCTGTAAGTGGCATTAAACCTTCTTCCATAAGACCCATTCAACCAGCAGGGAATCTCCATTCCACTGCAATTCTGTTTACAGTGTCTCCCGTAGTGTCTCCCACAGCAACAGCAGTCCACCACAA